CCTCTAAATCTGAGACCATGGTCTTGATTTGGAAAAGGGTAGAATGACTTCACTGGGTCAGGGATGAGGTCCTGCCCCAAGTAGAGGAGTTTAAGAATCTCTGGGTCTTGTTTACGAGTGAGGGAAAGTTGGAGCGTGAGATCAATAGGTGGATTGATGCTGCATCTGCAGTGATGCGAGCGTTGTACCGGTCTATCGCGTCATACCCCTGTCAAAACCCGTGCACGCGCATTGGGTCCACAGCGCGCGTGTGAACGGGACTCGCGAGCGAAAATATACATGGCAGCGCGCGTGTGAACGGGACTCGCGAGCGGAAATATACATGGCGAGAGGTCATTTGTGCACTGAGAGGGAGCAAACTGTGTCTGTGAGCGCACAAGGATGTGCACAAGTGACAAACCTGCGTGCGCGCGTGGTCAACGAGCACACGGCAGAGGAAAACGTGCGCGCGCGGCAGCCTCTGTGCGCGCTCGGCAGCCTCTCTGCGCGCTCGGTTTCTGACTCCTGCTCGCTCGGCTGTAAGGGTTTTGGCACTCTGGAGGCGTGGCCTGTGGCAGATCTTCTCTGTCCTCTGATTGGTTAGTGTACCCCGCACTTTACCCTCTACCTATCTATATAAAAAAGTCTGCTAGTCAAGTAGTCGCTGGCATAGCTCAGTTGGAAGAGCGGGTGACTCTCGCCCCGGAGGATCCAGGTTCGAGGCCGGGCAAGGAAAATGCAGTAAATGTCATGTTAATTTTTCTTAATTTCAGGTATTTTACAGTTGTGACCGTTCAACTGTCATTAAACGTCCGAATGTTTGCTGGGCAGTGTTTTAAAAAGTGCACATAAGCTAGATGGTTTTAACCATATAAAATTACATTTTTTGTGATACTGGAAAAATACATACTGAAATAAAACTACTGATTGAAAACTTTATGACTGTGGTTGTACAATATATGACTCACTAATACACTGCAAACTCCCTTAGAGTGGGGCTTCCAGAGAGAGAGAGAGAGAGAGAGAGACAGAGAGAGAGAGAGAGAGAGAGACAGAGAGAGAGACAGAGAGAGAAAAGTTCTTGCCTCATTAATGAATTGTTTATTTTTTTCAGTATTTAATTGACAAATTATCCTTTCAAATAATTAATTGATGAGTTACATAATTGTCCATTTAGAATTGTTGAATGGACTGAGTCAAGTTTGGTGCACTTTATATATTTCAAAACATGTTTTTTTTTTATTTTAATGATGCATATAAATAATTTAAATGTTAATTTAATGAAATATTTCTATTTTTTCATTACCTCACCCTTGTTTTGACAAAAACGGGACCTTGCTGGATAATATCATGGAGAAACTATTTGTTCACAGTACATGGCTCAGTGAGGATCTGTGTACCGAAGGAGGAGATACTCAGAAATCTGTCTGCAGATTGTTACAACCCAGACTGGAAGTGGTGGGCTGTAATAAGAAAGGAGACCAAACAGAGGAGTGGGGGTTCAACAACTGATTTATTTAACAAAAGTAAGGATTTACTAAAGCAAGTTAGTGAACAGAAAATGGCCAGTGAGGACTCTCCACCACACAGGAGAGACCCAGTGAAAGCAGAAAAACAGTAGGCTTTGTAGGCAGCACCACACCCTGAGCCCAGGTGCCTCCAAGGCTGCTTAACCAGCTGCCTACAACAGAAGAAAAACACAATTAAACACAAATGAAAACCCAATGAGATGGTGGGGGCATCACAACACGTTCAGGACTACCCAAACACCAGTAAATCTTGACTGCACTGATCTGAGGTGTCAATGGCCATATTCCCCTCTCTTCCAGAGTCATATATTTTCCTCAAGTTCAACTGCACTCTGAAGAGGCTCATTTGGATTGTGCCACATAGGCCAGTGACCTTTGTCTCAGCACTGTATGCTGGAACTATCAGCGACCAACCTGGGAATCTGGTGTGTTGAAAATGCTACAACTAGAGATGGTCATCTTGGTAGACAAGGGTTTCTGCATTGATGACATTGTGCCCTGCAAAGTGTACAGGCCAGCTTTCCTTTCTGGCAAACCTCAAATGTCTGCATGTAAAGTTATAGAAACAGAAGCCATAACATCTCTGAGTGCATGTGGAGCGCTCCATTCATCTGGTCCAAGAACACAAGCATTTTGATTGTTATTCCCCTCCTTGCATTTGTAAACAATCAGCTATATGCTGTGGTTTTTCTCCTTACCAACTTTTAAAATAGCCCACTAGTGAAGGCCTGGGCAAAGAAGCCTGATGTCTGAGAACCTCAACATATGTACGGCAACCACACTGTATATTTACACACATTCATAAAGAAACTGCATATCAAGCTTTCATTCAGATGACCTTCAACAGTGCTGCACCCTGCTGAGGGACATCCGAGTAAAACCTTGAGATGGCCATTTTCTGTTCACTAACTTGCTTTAGTAAATCCTTACTTTTGTTAAATAAATCAGTTGTTGAACCCCCCACTCCTGTTTGGTCTCCTTTCTTATTACAGCCCGCCACTTCCAGTCTGGGTTGTAACAATCTGCAGACAGATTTCTGAGTATCTCCTCCTTTACACAGATCCTCACTGAGCCATGTACTGTGAACAAATAGTTTCTCCATGATATTATCCAGCAAGGTCCCGTTTTTGTCAAAACAAGGGTGAGGTAATGAAAAAATAGAAATATTTCATTAAATTAACATTTAAATTATTTATATGCATCATTAAAATAAAAAAAAACATGTTTTGAAATATATAAAGTGCACCAAACTTGACTCAGTCCATTCAACAATTCTAAATGGACAATTATGTAACTCATCAATTAATTATTTGAAAGGATAATTTGTCAATTAAATACTGAAAAAAATAAACAATTCATTAATGAGGCAAGAACTTTTCTCTCTCTGTCTCTCTCTCTGTCTCTCTCTCTCTCTCTCTCTGGAAGCCCCACTCTAAGGGAGTTTGCAGTGTATTAGTGAGTCATATATTGTACAACCACAGTCATAAAGTTTTCAATCAGTAGTTTTATTTCAGTATGTATTTTTCCAGTATCACAAAAAATGTAATTTTATATGGTTAAAACCATCTAGCTTATGTGCACTTTTTAAAACACTGCCCAGCAAACATTCGGACGTTTAATGATAGTTGAACGGTCACAACTGTAAAATACCTGAAATTAAGAAAAATTAACATGACATCTACTGCATTTAACTTGCCCGGCCTCGAACCTGGATCCTCCAGGGCGAGAGTCACCCGCTCTTCCAACTGAGCTATGCCAGCGACTACTTGACTAGCAGACTTTTTTATATAGATAGGTAGAGGGTAAAGTGCGGGGTACACTAACCAATCAGAGGACAGAGAAGATCTGCCACAGGCCACGCCTCCAGAGTGCCAAAACCCTTACAGCCGAGCGAGCAGGAGTCAGAAACCGAGCGCGCAGAGAGGCTGCCGAGCGCGCACAGAGGCTGCCGCGCGCGCACGTTTTCCTCTGCCGTGTGCTCGTTGACCACGCGCGCACGCAGGTTTGTCACTTGTGCACATCCTTGTGCGCTCACAGACACAGTTAGCTCCCTCTCAGTGCACAAATGACCTCTCGCCATGTATATTTCCGCTCGCGAGTCCCGTTCACACGCGCGCTGTGGACCCAATGCGCGTGCACGGGTTGTGGCACGCTTTAAACGCCATACCGGTCTGTCCTGGTGAAGAGAGAGCTGAGTCAGAAGGCGAAGCTCTCGATTTACTGGTCGATATATGTTCCTACTCTCACCTATGGTCATGAGCTTTGGGTAGTGACCGAAAGGACGAGATCGCGGCCGAAGAGTTTTCTCCAAAGAGTGTCTGGGCTCTCCCTTAGAGATCGAGTGAGAAGCTCGGTCATCCGGTAGGGGCTCGGAGTAGATCTGCTGCTCATCCACATCGAGAGGAACCAAGTGAGATCGCTCGGGCATCTGGCCAGGAGGCCTCCTGGACGCCTCCCTGGTGAGGTTTTCCTAGCATGTCCAACCGGGAGGAGGCCTAAACAGAGACCCAGGACACATTGGAGGGACTATGTCTCTCACCTGGCCAGGGAACACCTTGGGATTCCCCTGGAAGAGTGGGAAGTCTGGGCCTCTCAACTTAGGCTACTGCACCCCCGACCCGACTCTGGATAAGCGGAAGAAAATGGATGGATGGATGGATGGATGGATGGATGGATGGATGGATGGATGGATGGATGGAAGGACGGACGGACGGACGGACAGATGGATGGATAAGAAAATTATGGTTTCTCAGTGACCCTGGTCTTTAAATAAAACTTCAGTTGCAGTTCTACCTAATACAATAAATTACTTAGTATTTACCTGTCCCAAAGAAACGTTGCCCTGTAGATCACAAAGGTTGCACTGAGGGATGTTGAAGATGTTTTAAGAGTGGAAAAACATTCTTAGATCTTGAGTGCACTCAGACTAGCCATTAGCTCAGACTAGCTTTTAGATCACACATGCTAGCTGTTAGCTTAGTTCTCGGACAGAGCCCAATCAGTATAAGCTTGTAGGCATTTAAAACCATTGAATAAAAACATACATCAGAACGGATGAGATGTTCCTTAAACTGCATGACTGGCTGAGCGTTGCTCCTGTAAATAATCGAACTCCGCTCTTGCCTTTTCTATGACAGATTTAATCCTGAGTCAGCGCTGAAGAATCGTTGTCATGTGTCTCTTTATAAAAGTCACAGCTGTTGATAGACTAACACAAAGACAGCTAAGCTCTAAATGTTTGTATATGAATCCTATACCCTCCAAAACACCAAGTTCACCTCATTTGGTCTTTCAATTACACCAGAACATACAATGGAATGGTGTTCATTACTTTGAACATAACAAATGTTAAGTTAAAGAAAAGTTTGTGTTCATGCTATTTTCAGTTGATCGTATAACAGAACTGCTTACAGTCTTTTAGTCAACAAATATGCATGTTCTGGGATCCTGAAGCCTGTTAACATCAGTCTGCATCATGTTTGTCTGTCTCAGGCTGAGGCGGAAGTGGCTTCCCTCAACAGACGCATTCAGCTTGTGGAGGAGGAGTTGGACCGAGCTCAGGAGAGGCTGGCTACAGCTCTGCAGAAGCTGGAAGAAGCTGAGAAGGCAGCTGATGAGAGCGAAAGGTGACTTCTTAACATTTCACTCCCTTTTTATGTGTTTGATTCTATTCTATTATAGGATGACTCTTTTAGATCCACAGTCAGAATGCACAGATGTATCAGCAAGGCTGAAGGAAAAGCCTCAGAAACATCTGTGAAGAAAAGCAGGTTCTCAGGAGACAGAAATTTTCCCTCAGTCCCTCCACCTCATCGGGACTGAGTTCAAACATGAAACAAAAGTCAAGTCTCATTAGATGAGTGTCTGTAGCTCACAGGGCATCCAGAAGCAACAATAAAAACATGTTGCACGTCTTAGGTGTGTTCTTGCTGTGTCGTGGTTCTAATTCCATGCTGTCGTTCTTTTTAAAACACAGAAACAGTTTTGTTTACCTGTTTTGTCGCTACGTTTCGCCGGCGGCTGCAGGCTTCCTCAGGCTGACGCTGATGGTGGCGCGTCACTTCCTTCTCCGTTTATCCGCGGGCAGCAGAGGACGTTGTCGCCCTCTACTGCCCGCTCTCCCCTCTCCGACGATGCAGTCCCATGCGCGGCCACCATCAGCGTCAGCCTGAGGAAGCCTGCAGCCGCCGGCGAAACGTAGCGACAAAACAGGTAAACAAAACTGTTTCTGTGTTTTAAAAAGAACGACAGCATGGAATGTTGCACGTGTTTAAACATGATCACTGATTATTCTAGAGATGGAATAAAACAACGGTCTCACATTTGACATAAGTCAGGGTCAACTGCATGGTCCACTCGAGGTGGTTGCATGTTTCAAAAGTTCCTCGCAGACCTCTGATGATGCCTCCAGGATCATCAGGATCAGGAGAATTCAGGTTACTATGGATAGTGCTAAAAATCATCCGAGGGTTCAGAGAGTTTGACAGGGTGGCATTTGACAAGAATGCATTTTTGCTTTCTTCACGCCAGGAATCCTTCAAAATTTCAGGATACATGGAGTTTATCCTTCTTCCATCTTCACCCATCCTTTCCTCGAGCATTTCTGGATGCACGTGTAACCGCAACTGTCTTCGACTTACAGTGGCAGAGTTTTAATGGGGGAACTTTGTCTAAAACTGTTTGACAAGAAACAGTTAAGCTGAGACAAGAGCCCACCAGTAGACACACATTTTTTAGCCTGGCACAACCAGGTTACTAAGACCAAGCTATTACATTTCTCCCTAGTAAGGTGAGTGTGAGTTCTGCCTCTGATCTAGACGCCCTCTCACCCTACCAGAAGTCAGTTGTCACCAGCCTGGGGGTGAGACTGGATGTGGAACTCAAACTGGAATCTCACATTAATATGGTTGTAAGAGCCTGCTTTTTTAACCTGCGACGGCTGGCAAAAGTCTAGCCCATGTTGTCCCGAGCACATTTGGAGTCTGTGCTCCACACATTTGTTTTTTCTAGGTTCGACTACTGTAACGCTCTATATGTTGGGTTGAGGCGGGCAGTAATGATGCGTCTCCAGTGGTTCAGAACTCGGCAGTCATGTTTCTGACAGGGACGACAAAATCAGCACATATTACTCCTGTGCTGGCATATTTACACTGGCTTCCTGTGGTCTTCGGACAAACTGTAAGGTCCTCTGCATTGTCTACCATTCTCTATATGGTGGTGCTCCACCATACTTGGCAGCACTATTAACACGGCACACCCCATCACAATCTCTACGCTCGGCTGAGCTGGAGCAACTGACTGTTCCTCACTCCCGGTATAGATCTAGAGATTGGGCTTACTCGGTCTTGGCTCCATCCCTCTGGAACGAGCTGCCACTCCGCATCAAACAATCACCTTCACTGCATGTCTTCAAGAGTCGCTTGAACACTCATTTTTATCGTTTGGCTTTTATGTGACTTGGTTTTACGCTTCTTATCCTTCTTTTATATATTATATATATATATATATATATATATATATATATATATATATATATATATATATATATATATATATATATATATATATATATATATCTTTTATTTTAATCTATGTTATGTTCAGCACCTTGGGCTTCCCCAGAGGCAGTGGAAGGTGCTCTATAACTAAAGTTTGATTGATTGATTGATTGATTGATTGATTGATTGATTGATTGATTGATGATTGATTCTCAAAAGTTCAGGTGAAAAAACTTCAGCTCTTAAAAATTTAAAAACCTATGCCTTTGTAGCCAAGAGAGACAGCTGTACAAGGTAGTGATACGTTAAAAAAACATAACAGTGGTCAGAAAACACTGCCTCAGAGACCACTACATACTATCCAGACAAACGTTATGACAACACAAGATTAAGAGTATGACCGCAATAACGAGTTGCATCACAAACAAATTAAACAAGTCAAAATTATTTAGCTGGACAAACATGTGCAGTATGTTAAAATCACCAAAGATCAAACGCCCTTTGGGATTATTTGGGCCAGAATGTCAGAATGGTGAAGTTTGCCTTTTGTAAAGTTAGCATCATTTCTTGTTTAAAGCGAGGAGCCTCTAGTCAAGCAGACTGTTGTTAAGCAGTCATACTGACTCCTTTCTTACGCACTTCAATTCTCGTCCTGATTCTGTGTTTTCCTGAAATTATATGAAAGTCACACTGGGAGGTCGTTGTTGTTTTAGCATCCAGAAGAGAGCAGAGCGTGTCTCGGCTAGTAGAAGCTAACCATTAGCATTAGCATCTCCATCACATGGCAGAACTCCTTAGGCGTGTGTTACTTGTGGAGAAGAAACATCATCATTACAGAGCAAACAGAGACAGTGGTAGAGTTGATTTGCTGTTAGCCAATCAGAGTCGAGATGTCCAAAATCAGGAAATAAGACTCCATATCCCGTCGTTTGAAGCTATCCTCCAGCTGATTTCTACGTCTTCAAACAGGTGCACCAAAACTTTTTTTGACACCAGAGACAACTTACAAGGCTTTCATTCCGAGAGAGATCGCTGCAAATGCATCAAAAAATGAGTAAAGTTGACTTTTAAAAAAAGAGTTTACTGGTAGACTCTGATTGGCTGGAGCCTTTAACTGTCACCAAGTCTGTTTGGTTAAAGTAAGCACTGCAGCAGCTGAATTACCAAAACTACCATGCAGAAACCTCAGGTGGTAATAATATTTAGTTTTATTTCTAGGTACTTTCTTAACAGGCCATTTCACCAAATTATGGACTTCTGTGAGACAGCAGCTATGGTAATCTGGTTGGTTTGTTTTTCCAGAGGGATGAAGGTGATTGAGAACCGAGCTCTGAAGGATGAAGAAAAGATGGAGCTCCAGGAGATTCAGCTGAAAGAAGCCAAACACATCGCAGAGGAAGCTGATCGCAAGTATGAAGAGGTGGGATTTTAGTTGCTGTTAATAAACGATAAACAGCTGAAGGCACTGAATTATGCTTTTGCCTGTGTCTGACTCAGATTTATAAAATCAGGGATGAAATGTGATGATTGTAGCTGCAGAAACAATTAAATCACACTGGATAACGAACCAGGATTCCCCACCCCTATTCTAATCCCTCAGCTTTTAAAAGACCTGGAACTTATTGAGGAGGGTGATGGTCCACGCAGCGAGGTTCAGCTGAGATGGAGCTCCGACCTAGCCCTGCGAACAATCCTATTTATGTAAATATGTAGTCTGGCCACAACCCATAGACAGAGCTTGGTCATGGGGTGGAATCTACAGTTGTCTTTCAAACCGTCACCACATGCTATTGGACAGTGCTAGGACCAATCAGAGCAATGAACAATGTGAGGTATTCGTCGCTGTAGAAATCAGTCAGTGTCAAATAAGAAGAAGCAAACGTGTTCTTTTTCTAAATAAAGGATTTAACTAGCTTTATCTGCTTGAAGCCAAAGCCATTTTAAAGGACCACACATAGTAGTTTTTCTTCATCACAGCTCTGGAGCTAAGCTCGCCCAACATCTCGCTACAAATGTAGAGTGCTGTGATTGGCTAGACACAAAATTGTTGGGGCCAATGGTAGACCTGCTGAGGCTACAGTGGAGCACTGCTAGACTGACTAAGGCCTAGTCCGCACGTAGCCGGGGTTTTTTAAAAACGAATATCCGCCCCTCCAAAAACTTGCATCCACACCTCCGCGTTTTAAAGCAAACTCTGTCCACACGTACCCGGATAAATACGTTGTTAAGGACATGCCAAACCTGTAGGCGGCAGTACTTCCCCCGTTCGTAACCTCGTCCTTCGTCTGTGGTCTTCCTCAAGGAGCAGTAATTCCGCTTGCAAAAACAAACAAGCAAAAAGCGCTTGGACAATTGATGGATCGGGTAGTGACAGAGCGAAGCTCTGAGGGCTTCCATGATGCCGGCTAGTGTAAACACAGGTCGCACACGTGATGTCAGCATTTTTTTGTCGCGGAAAGTGACGTTGCGGACCTTAAAACTCCGGTTTTGTCTGTCCACACGCAGACACCCAAAACGGAGAAAACGCAGATCTTCACTTTGGCCGGAGTTTTAAAAAAACTCCGTTTTCGTGTGGATGACAGGCCAAAACGTAGTAAAATATCTAGGTTTTGGCAGATCCCCGGCTACGTGTGGACAGGGCCTTAATCTGGGTTCTGACCCAAACTGAAGAGAAATGAAGACATGCTGGAAAACATACACTTTTCCTTAAAAATAACAGTAATTGTTTAAAACAGAATCAATCAACTAATAAGTGAATCTGTGTTACTGAGGGCAGAGTAATTCAGGTGGACCTCTGTTTGTTCTGTCAGGTGGCTCGGAAGCTGGTGATTGTGGAAGGAGAGCTGGAGCGAACGGAGGAAAGGGCAGAACTGGCTGAGGCGTGAGTGTGGAGCCCATTAGGTCCAGTAAAAAGCTCACAGTTCGGAACCAGAACACCTTCTTTAGATGACAGAGACTCTTAGTCCACCTTTTTATTGTTGTTCTAATCTAACACGCTGTTAGAACATTAAAACACCTGCAGGAGTATCTACTAAACATCTAAATGTCCCCACAGCTGATCAGGTTCTACAGCGGTCTCCTCGATCTAACTTCTGACCAGCTGGTGGCTTTGATCTGAACTAACGTGTTTGTTTCCATATCTGATGTCAAACCAGTAAATGTGCAGAGCTGGAGGAAGAACTGAAGAACGTCACCAACAACCTGAAGTCTTTAGAGGCTCAGGCTGAGAAGGTAGGATGAGGAAAAACACCTGGACAAACCAGTGACTTAGACCAGTTTCAGCTGTTTACCAGTAAAGCTTCTTTTATCTCCAGTACTCACAAAAAGAGGACAAGTATGAGGAAGAAATCAAGATCCTCACTGACAAGCTGAAAGAGGTGAGCAGGAAACTCCAACCCTTCACAGAGAGCAGATGTTCTCCAGGTGTTTTCAGGAAGGCTTGTTTCTGCCTCTGTTTCAGGCTGAGACCAGAGCCGAGTTTGCTGAGAGGTCCGTAGCCAAGCTGGAGAAGACCATTGATGACTTAGAAGGTAAAGAACTCTGTCCTCAGTGGAACCTTTCCAGACACACGTTTCTCTGAGTCCAGAATTAGACATCACCCTGACACCCCCACACAGATCAGCACCAGGTCGTCTGTGTTCTCCAAGTTCTCTGACCGAGAAGTACTAACTAGGAACAAGTTATTAAATCTCTTTTGTTTGTGTGTGTGTGTGTGTGTGTGTGTGTGTGTGTGTGTGTGTGTGTGTGTGTGTGTGTGTGTGTGTGTGTGTGTGTGTGTGTGTGTGTGTGTGTGTGTGTGTGTGTGTGTGTGTGTGTGTGTGTGTGCAGATGAGCTATACGCTCAGAAACTGAAGTACAAAGCCATCAGTGAAGAACTGGACCACGCCCTTAATGACATGACCTCCATGTAAGTTCTGATAGACAGTAGGCACCAGTTCTGGAGAATCTGAGGTGGTTCTGTCAGAGAACCGGGTTCTACATGATAAGAATGAGCTTGAGTTTATAATAACTCAAATAACGGAAGTGTTTGAGACACCCGGTTCTGACGGAACCATAGCTGACTGGACTGATGTGTGACAAACCTTTATTTGTCCCTTCATAGAACAATGTTTCTGCTGCTCTGTGTAAAGGCAGACGTAGACATTTACCGGTCAGCTAGTGTTTGTTCTGCTGGCTCTGCTGCTCTTAAAGTAGGGATGGGTATTTTTCACATTTTGATTGATTGGGTACCAATTCCTGGTACCTATTGGAATCCATACTGGTACTTAATGGTACCGATTTTTTCCTCTCCTTTCACCTCGGGACAAACCATGTGATGGTGGGTCCTTGCAGTATCATGAACTGCAAATTACACTGAAGCAAACATCTCTGCAGTGCACTAAATTCATTGTGTATCTTCATTTCTTTGTCGTTCATTTTCAAACAGTAAAATTTTCCTACTCGGAATTCGGAATTTCTGAGTAGCGAGGAGGAAGCAAACGCGCCATTAGCTGCAACGGAAGCTAAAGTATAAAGCTAACATTATCCTAAACAGTTGATTTACCTGCTGCAGCAGATCAAGATAATGATAGCTCATCTAGAACAATGTTGTCATCATCACCAAGTCACCAATCACTTTTAGTGAAGTGAACCCAAACTTTAGAGGCGTTCTTTCTACCATGTGTCACGGTGAGCTGAGGTGAGGATCTAAGTGTGGGGAAGAAGGCAGGCAGGCAGGATGTTGAAAGGGTTTTTAATGATAAGCACGCGGAACATGGAAACAATGGACAGACAAGGAACACAGAACTGGGAGGGTTTAAATACACAAGGACCTGGGATCTAAAGCAACTGGGAGACAAAAGGCAGTGGGAGCAATTAGGAAAGACACAGGACTGAACAGAGTGTGGAGACAGAACAGGTTGTGACAGTGACACCCCCCCCCCCCCACCCACCCACCTTTTTTAAAGGGCGGCACCAGACACCCAATGCAGGCCAAGACGGAGTCTGGGGGGGCTGCGTCTGGCGAGGGCAGGGCTGGCGGTGACTGGAGGCGGGGCCGCTGGAGTCTCTGGAGGTGGAGCCGCTGACTTGACTGGAGGCGAGGCCGCTGCAGGCGGAGCCACTGACTTGATTGGAGGCGGGGCAGCTGCAGGCGGAGCCACTGACTTGACTGGAGGCGGGGCTGCTGGAGTTTCTGGAGGTGGAGCCGCTGCAGGCGGGGCCGCTGACGTGACTGGAGGCGGGGCCGCTGGAGTCTCTGGAGGTGGAGCCGCTGACTTGACTGGAGGCGGGGCCGCTGCAGGCGGAGCCACTGACTTGACTGGAGGCCGGGCCGCTGCAGGCGGAGCCACTGACTTGACTGGAGGCGGGGCTGCTGGAGTTTCTGGAGGTGGAGCCGCTGCAGGCGGAGCCGCTGACGTGACTGGAGGCGGGGCCGCTGCAGGCGGGGCCGTTGACTTGACTGGAGGCGGGGCCACTGCAGGCGGGGCCGTTGACTTGACTGGAGGCGGGGCCGCTGCAGGCGGAGCCACTGACTTGACTGGAGGCGGGGCCGCTGCAGGCAGAGCCACTGACTTGACTGGAGGCGGGGCCGCTGCAGGCGGGGCCACTGACTTGACTGGAGGCGGGGCTGCTGGAGTTTCTCGAGGTGGAGCTGCTGCATGCAGGGCTGCTGACTTTACTGGAGGCGGGGCCGCTGGAGGCGGGGCCGCTGCAGGCGGGGCCGCTGCAGGCGGGGCCATTGACGTGACTGGAGGCGGAGCCACTGCAGGTGGGGCTGCTGGAGTCTCTGGAGGCGGAGCCGCTGACTTGACTGGAGGCGGGGCCGCTGCAAGCGGGGCCGTTGACTTGACTGGAGGCGGGGCCGCTGGAGTTTCTGGAGGCGTTCTGTCATGGTGTGCAGGTGAAGAAGACAAGAAGTTTGGAACGTTTAAAGGGTTTTTAATGATAAGCACGCGGGACAACGAAACAATGGACAGACAAGGAACACAGAACTGGGAGGGTTTGAATACACAAGGACCTGGGATCTAAAGTGATTGGGAGACGAGAGGCAGGTGGGAGCAATTAGGAAAGACACAGGACTGAACAGAGTGTGGAGACAGAACAGGTTGTGACAGTGACCCCCCCCCCCCCCCCCCTTTAAAGGGCGGCACCAGACGCCCAATGCAGGCCAAGACGGAGTCTGGGGGGGCTGCGTCTGGCGAGGCCAGGGCTGGCGGTGACTGGAGGCCGGGCCGCTGGAGTCTCTGGAGGTGGAGCCGCTGACTTGACTGGAGGCGAGGCCGCTGCAGGCGGAGCCACTGACTTGACTGGAGGCGGGGCCGCTGCAGGCGGAGCCACTGACTTGACTGGTGGTGGGGCCGCTGCAGGCGGAGCCACTGACTTGACTGGAGGCGGGGCTGCTGGAGTTTCTGGAGGTGGAGCCGCTGCAGGCGGGGCCGCTCACGTGACTGGAGGTGGGGCCGCTGCAGGCGGGGCCGTTGACTTGACTGGAGGTGGGGCCGCTGCAGGCGGGGCCGTTGACTTGACTGGAGGCGAGGCCGCTGCAGGCGGAGCCACTGACTTGACTGGAGGCGGGGCCGCTGGAGTCTCTGGAGGTTGAGCTGCTGCATGCGGGGCTGCTGACTTGACTGGAGGCGGGGCCGCTGCAGGCGGGGCCGTTGACGTGACTGGAGGCAGAGCCACTGCAGGTGGGGCTGCTGGAGTTTCTGGAGGTGGAGCCGCTGACTTGACTGGAGGCGAGGCCGCTGCAGGCGGAGCCACTGACTTGACTGGAGGCGGGGCTGCTGGAGTCTCTGGAGGTTGAGCTGCTGCATGCGGGGCTGCTGACTTGACTGGAGGCGGGGCCGCTGCAGGCGGGGCCGTTGACGTGACTGGAGGCAGAGCCACTGCAGGTGGGGCTTTTGGAGTTTCTGGAGGCGGAGCCGCTGACTTGACTGGAGGCGGGGCCGCTGCAGGCGGGGCCGTTGACTTGACTGGAGGCGGGGCCGCTGGAGTTTCTGGAGGCGTTCTGTCATGGTGAAGAAGACAAGAAGTTAGGAACATTTAAAGGGTTTTTAATGATAAGCACGCGGGACACAGAAACAATGGACAGACAAGGAACACAGAACTGGGAGGGTTTGAATACACAAGGACCTGGGATCTAAAGTGATTGGGAGACGAGAGGCAGGTGGGAGCAATTAGGAAAGACACAGGACTGAACAGAGTGGGGAGACAGGACAGGTTGCTATGTTTACATCTTGCCTGCAGCAACTGATGATGTAAAGCTCTTGCACATACGCGGCTGTCTATCTTGGGAAATCCGGTACCGAACACTAGTGTGTAAAGCCTTTGTTAAGTGGTAAAAGGTACCAAAACAAGGCATCATGTCATATCAAGTGAATCTGTCCTTAGTCGGCACCACGGACTTTGGTCCGTGCCTTAAAAAGTACTAAATACAGTACCCATTCCTGTCTTAAAGCAACACTTAATAAGTTTCCTGCTTGACCCTCCTGCTGGTAGAAAGCAGAATTACAATTGTCACAACCCCTCTATAGGTTTCACTAACAACAAGTCAATGCTAACATGAGCCAACTGGTTCTGGATGAGCCACAAAAAAACAGATCCACACTGTTGGACAAAAACTATGATTTATAATTCCAGTAACAACAAAGCCTGGTCACCATCAGTCCATGATTTTGTAGCCTCCTTCAGCTCCCTCAAACGAGTGTAGGCTATGCCGGTGTTAAATCTGGTTGCAGCTTTTGCTTCATTTCCAAAGATAATACCCTCTTACCTTTTCTTCTGGGCTCCACAATGATGCCAACAAAATGCAGAATTATTCTTTTTCTGCTTTATATTGGCAGTCACCAAACTGGAAAAGCTAACTGCTAGCATTTAGGCTGTATTATCTGCCGGCACAGTAAACAGCTATTGCTGTAAATCACAGTGACGTGCGGTCAGAGGAGGAAGGGGAGGCACTTACTTTTTCAGTGAGTGAGTGCGGCGCTGCACCGTGAGAACAGAGTGTGTTCTCATCTCTGCCTCCAGAGGGCGCAGCGCCGCACTCTTGATACAGAGCGTTGGCGAATGTGCTCAGCCTGAATCACTTAGTGTGTGCAGGGTGGCTCGTCTCTGCCTCTCCTCTCGCTCTGCGTGTATTTGATTTTGACCATAAATGTGATGATATCTTACAGAAAACTAATGTATAGATCAGCCACTGGGCACACTAACTTTTTATTAAATCATCATTAGAATTTTACTTGTCACAATGACAAGGGAGGCGTGCCTCCCCGCCTCCTATGACTGCATGTCACTGGCTAATCAAGCACAGAACTCCCACTAGTGGTTCTACATGAACAACAAAACTGTTTGGTGCAGTTTTAGCAAACGGCTACAGATTACCATTCAGTGTGAAGTTGCTCGAGGGTCTGACTCAAGAACCACCGAAACTAGTTTGAAAGCAATAGCAAATGAAGCCTGAAGCTTTTGGTTTTGCAGGAACATCTATATCATATCTACGACTACAGAGAGGTGTCGGTTGATTTTATAATTTCCTTTTCAACCAGGTGAAAATGCATAAGGAGTCAGACCAAGGAAAGAAATTCGAGTTAAGAGAGAAGCAGTAGCAAGCAGTCGGCAGCGATCAAACCTTGTGATTAATGAACATAGGAGTTAAACTGACCAGGGAGCAGGTGTGAGAAAGGATCTGACACATCCGTAGATGTCAGACAACATGTGGGCCAGAAGGTTCTGTGTAAATGTGAGTAAACCTGTTGAAACATTCAACATCAGAGTAACACTATAATTTCTGTTTCTCCTGTTTCAGCTGAACCCCCACCTCCACCTCAACCCCCCACCCTGACCATCGCTCCAGCCCATCTGATAGACGTTGTTCAGTCTGTGGCTCGTGTTCTGTCCTTGTCTGTTTGTTCATCATCATTTTGCCTTTTCCACTGTGTCATGGTGCAGAAAAAAACATGTCTTGATCAACGAACTTGTGTTTGTGGGTTTATTAATATTATTACGATTATTATTATTATTATTATTATTAGTTTATTATTATTATTATTGTTATTATTATTATTACTTAACTGATTTGTTAAGAGTCCCAGTCCATCAGATACTAAAAGAGATTCTTTGATTTTTCATTTAAGCAGAAATGTTTTTGAAAGATCTGCATCAAAACATGCAGTTCAGTGGGTGCTATAGTGACCCTAATCAGTCACTGGCTGCAGCTTTAACATTTCTACTTATCTGGGTTTTTTTAAAATGTTGCTTTGGAAATCTTTAGAGTTTCTTTGGCAATTTTCTAGTTTTTATTTATTTATTCAAATACTGACTCGTTAACATAATACACGGCCACTCAGTTGAACCTTTAAGCCTTCATAGATTTATTATCTGTGTACAAGATTGTAACATTTGTTCATTAGTCTCACACACACACACACACACACACACACACACGCACGCACACACACACACGCACACACACACACACACACACACACACACACACACACACACACACACACACACACACACACACACACACACAATTCAGCTAAACTGGTAGTTATAATCTAAGATTGGAGGCTCGGGAATTCCAAACAGCGTGACCAGATGATGGGACAGACCATGAAGGAGTGTGGGGGAAAGATTCCCTCATGGGGCTGGATCAGGGAATGCTGCTGAGCTCATCAGAAGCAGAAGCCAAACAGGAGCAGCTGAGGACATCTTGTGTTAAAGGACAGGCAGCATCAGAGCAAGCTAAACTGATCACAAAAACAAAGAGGAAATAAACCCCACCAGAACCTTTACAGCTTAATTTGATCATTTCAACAAAGCCTGATTAATACCATTTTTGGTTCTTTTAAAACACAGGAAAGGTTTCTCTTTACCTTGCTAACATAAAGAGAAACATTTCCTGTGTTTTAAAAAGAACCAAAAATGGAATTAGAAACTAGACACAGTAAAAACATACCAAAGAAGCCTGAATAACACTTCACGCACTGACAGACGTTTTGCTCTCGGACTTCTCCGTCACCTGGGGAGTGTTGCAAAGCTATTCCCCACCAGGAAAACAGAGGGCGTAACGATTTTCTGTGGTACCATAAGGCTCATGTATCCGGCCCACGATAGTATTTACTAATGCGTTTATATATTTCAGAGACTTTTTAACACGGACAAATTTGTCCTTCATTCTCCTCCACCTCTTCGTGCGATCGCCATCTCTAAACCCACATTTTTCTTAATTTCCATCCACATTTGCTATTTTGTACTCCATCAGTCACAAGTAAATAAATGTTCTTATTTTCAGACTTTTTCTGTGATATGTTCTTCAATCTGCTTCGGGTATGCTCCTAAATATCCTTTTACTTTTTAACAGTACAATGATAGAGCTGTTGACGATTTTACAGGAAGCGGCCTCCTAATCAGTCACTAGCTTGCAGTCTCCGTTAATTTCAATGTGCGTTTAAAATGTTGGGCATGTCTCCGTCACCCTTTGTGAGCCTGTTGGAGAGCTCTTGCGCCGATGCATAATGGCGTTGTATTTCTCTGCACCGACGCACACAGAAAAGTATAAATCAGGCTTAACTCCAAAGGCCCCAAAGTAAATCCTTCTTCTAAAAGGAAAATCCAAACATTTTAGGCCAACTTGATTCTGTGATTGAATCACGTGTTCAGCTGTTCATCAAGGTAGGCAGAAGCTAGTACCTGCTGATTGACATCATGTTCAATTCAATTCAAGTTTATTTATATAGCGCCAAATCACGACAAGAGTCGTCTCAAGGCACTTCACATAATAAACATTCCAATTCACAGTTCATTAAGCCAATCAGACAAAAAAATGTTTCCTATATAAGGAACCCAAAAATTGCATCAAGTCACTGACTAGTGTCAGTGACTATACAGCAATCCTCATACTAAGCAAGCATATAGCGACAGTGGAGAGGAAAACTCCCTTTTAACAGGAAGAAACCTCCAGAGAATCCTGGCTCAGTATAAGCAGCCATCCTCCACGACTCACTGAGGATCGAGAAGACAAGAGCACACACACACACACACACACACACACACACACACACACACACACACACACACACACACACACACACACACACACACACACACACACACACACAACAAGCAATGTGTCTATGGTTACATTGTGATTTCTTAGTAAATATTCTATTTGGTGAGAGATAAACTTTATTGTATTTATCCTAGTGGATCTATAATTAAACGGATAAACTAGCAGTAGCACATCCGACGTCAAGAAAAGCAAAAAGTTATTATCAGGAGAAGGAGAATGTTTTAGTGGTTAGCAGCAGTGTGCTAGACGATGGCCCCCTCCATGAGGCCACCACAACTCAGCAGAACATTGTAGCTTCTTCTGGGGAGAAAAACACTTACAGAGAAAATAAAGATAACAGCTGAAATTGCAGAAAATTATACAGTTAAAGAGCAGATTGCAGAAGAAAGTAGTAGAGTGTGAAAAGTGGTCAGTGTGTTCTCCAGCAGTCTAAGCCTATAGCAGCATAACTAAAGAGATAACTCTGGATAACCTAGCCTGTTTAGATGTAGGCATGTTGGAGGCAGGGCAAGGGAGAGCCGTCTTTACCGACTGTACACTCCACCTCCCTCTACAACCCCCATTTGTCCAGATCTAGGCTAACGTCAGATTTTATCCATAGGCCCTATCAAATAAAAATGTTTTAAGCCTAGTCTTAAATGTAAACAAGATGTCTGCCTCACAGACTAAGGCTGGGAGCTGGTTCCACAGGACAAGAGCCTGATACCTAAAAGATCTGCCTCCCATCCTAATTTGAGATATTCTGGGAACCACCAGTAAACCTGCAGTCTGAGAGCGAAGTGCTCGGTTAGGAACGTATGGAACAATCAGATCACTGATGTATGATGGAGCTTGATTATTGAGCTTTATATGTGAGAAGAAGGATCTTAAAATCTATTCTGAATTTAACAGGTAGCCATTGTAGGGAAGCTAAGACAGGAGAGATATGATCTCTCTTTTTAATTCTCATCAGAACTCTAGCTGCAGCATTTTGGACAAGCTGAAGACTTTTAACTACATTGTGTGGACTTCCTGAGAGTAATGAATTACAGTAATCCAGTCTTGATTTAATAAATGCATGAACTAGTTTTTCAGCATCACTCCTGGAAAGGATGCTTCTAATCTTAGCAATATTCTGAAGGTGGAAAAAGGAAATCCTACAAACCTGTTTAACCTGGGATTTGAATGACATGTCCTGGTCAAAGATAACACCAAGGTTCCTTACTTTGTTCTCGGAGATTAATATAATGCCATTCAGGTCAGGTGATTGACTAAGCAATTTCCTATCCTGGATTTCTGGTCCAAAGATGAGAACTTCCATCTTGTCTTGATTTAAAAGCAAAAAGTTTAGAGTCATCCAATTTTTATGTCCTCAAGACAAGCCTGTAATCTACCCAACCGATTAGGTTCATCAGGGTTAATGGATAAATTTAACTGAGTATCGTCAGCATAACAGTGAAAGTTTATCCCATGCTGTCTAATGATTTTACCAATTGGGAGCATTTATATAGTAAAAAGAATTGGTCCAAGCACTGATCCCTGTGGTACTCCACAAGTAACCCTGGAGTATGAAGACGATTTGTCATGTACATTTACAAAATGAAATCTGTCAGACAGGTAGGATTTAAACCAGCCAAACGCTGTTCCTTTGATCCCTACAACATGTTCGAGTCTTTCTAAAAGAACATTGTGATCAACTGTGTCAAAGGCAGCACTGAGATCTAACAAGACTAGAACAGACACAAGATTCTGAGGCCATGAGAATATCATTTGTAACTCTCACTAATGCAGTTTCAGTGCTGTGATACTCTCTAAAACCAGACTGAAATTCCTCAAACAGAGCATTAGTGTTTAAATGTTCACATACTTGGATGGCCACTTTTTTCTCCAGGACTTTGGATAAAAATGGAAGGTTAGATATTGGTCTATAATTCATTGGGTCATCTGGATCCAGAGAAGGCTTCGTGCTCTCATTGGTTCCACCCAAGTTCCTCCCACTGACGCTAGAATCGAGACAAAAAGATCCGTAACACTGTAGATTTGAGGTTTGTACCTGTAAAATGAAATGTGTGTTTTGAGAGTTTTAATTTGAAACTTGTACATTGATTTTTTTATTTTGGAAGTCTGCTAGTTACAAAACGAAAGTTTCATGTCGTGGCCTGACTATATATTCACATTTATACAACAGTTACTTCCGACCGAGTGATTTGATTGATCAAGAGACTTTCCAAGAGTGCTTATATTGGACTATACCAGCACTGGGACTGTTTACAAACAGTATCACTTCGCTGTGCACAGGCGTTCTAAACGTTATTGTAGAAAATGTTTGTGTATCCTAGCAACAGCCATGTCCGAGTCTCCGTTTCGTGTTGGGACTATTTGTGTTGGCGGTGGAGCCTGATAAATGATTAAATACATTAACAAATCATAATCTGTTGTTGCTTATTGTTGTTATAAAAATAAAATGAGCAGGTAGAACTGTTGTATAAAAGCAATATCACACTCGAGGTCATGCATTGTTGCTGAATATCTGCACTGGTGTGATTATCTACGGCACTCGGCCTGCGGCCTCGTGCTTACGACCGAATCACACCAGTGCTGATATTCAGCAACAACGCACTCCCTCTCGTGTGATGTTGCTTAAATATAGAATGGCTTGCCAGGCCACAGCAGTGACTTTCTGGCTCTCTGTTATCTAGTGGTGGGATTTAACCAGTCTGGCTGCTGCAGCCCAGAAGGTAAATACCGGTTTGTGTTCCTGCTCCAGAGGCTGTGTGACGTCACTCAGAACAGCAGGAAGAATGTGGTCCAGCTACTTTTCTGGCTCAGAGTCCAGTTTTATTTCAGACCTACATCAGCAAGCTGAGGAGAGACCTGGATCGGACCTGAAGAGGTCCAACACAGCGTGGAGCAGGACCAATGGTGCTCCCGGAACCTTATCTGGAGAGAAGGGGCAAATTTTAGGGTGGCACATGTTGTTACTTGTGGTAACTGTGGCTGCATTTAGCCTTTAGCTGTGCAATGCATGCTCCTTCAATTTTTGTCATTAAAAAACAACATGTATCCAATACACTTTCCTCAGCTTAGAGAAACCAAAACATCTCAGAAATTCCCCACATGCCGTCTCATATCCGGAGGGTTGCAGGATCAAATCCAACTCAGATTCTTGCAGTCGTTGAGTCCTCAAGTAAGACACTTAAACGACATTGCCGTATATATATATATATATATATATATATATATATATATATATATATATATATATATATATATATATATATATATATATATATCAGAACCCATAACAAGGACCGGGACAGGATCAGCGACAGCAGGGCGGTGGTTCATCTCTTGGTATCAGAGGGGTTGACAGCTCCTCCTGTCTGAGGAGGAGGACCCGGTGGGAGGAGGACTCAGGAGGAGGACCCAGGACCGCCAAGTGGTGACAGAACTGCAGACTCACACAGGAAGCTGCCCCTTCGTCGTCGACATGCCTCAGGTACAAACTAACTTTATTTTTGCTTTCAGGGACAAAGTTACACCCGTAGAGACTTGGGCTTTCGGGTCCTACTGGAGGGTTTTATTTCAGGAGAGTTTGCTGGTTTGAGCTGCGGGGCAGAACCGGACCAGAACTCCTCTCACTGGAGCGATTGTGCTCCTGATAGAACCAGAAACAGACCGAGTGGGTTTTTTTGGTTTCGTTTTGTGTGAAATAGTTTTATCTCCCTCCGGTTCGGGAGTGAAAAACTTTCCAGATGTGTGCGGCCCCTCCCTGCGCGGCGCGGTGACGCACGTCACACCACGCAGTGCGTAAAAGTCCGAGGCCCGGTTCGGTTCGGGTCCAGAGGAAGGTTTCGACACACATTCTGATCCAGTACAGGATTAGCTGGCTGCAGGCCCGCTGATCCGAACCAGGCCAGCCAGGTTTCGTCCGAACCGCGATGCCATATTCGCCGTTAAAAAGTTAGGAGAACATCTGCAGATCAGCTCCAACTCTTTCTTTTCTTAAACATGTTTCCGGTTCTGGTCCGGTCAGTGCGGCTCACATGCTCCAAACTACAATAACAGTTATCAAACACACCCTGAGTGTGTTTAAAACCACCAAAGCTGCAGATTCTGACGGACGGATCCGGGTCTGGCTTTGGGTGTGGCTCATCCTACAACCAGGAGACTCCATGGGCTCTGAGATCTGGTGCAGCTCAGTGGAATCAAAAGAAAATAAAAACTCCAAGCTGAAGCTGAAAGCAATAAAAACATCTTAAGGATTTCTTTAAAAAAGACCCAAATATTACAAAGAGACTCAGATGTATGAATCATGTCTGACTGTAGGAGAGTCAGGCGGGTAAATCTCTGCAGGGCTAACTTTAGTTTATAATCATTCATGTTTAAATAGAATAAAAGTGCACCAGACAGCAGTAGCAAGACTTTTCTCCATCAACTTAAAACAGTTTGGAGATGAGATGTCATTCAAATCCAGCTGTTAGACCTGATGAAGGCAACCTGGTGCCTGCTCAAAGACACTGGACATTGGGAATCGAACCCCCAACCTTCTGATTGGACACAGAGCAGTTAATCAGAATGTTTGCAGAACTTTCTACTTTTGTGTCTGTGAAGAGGTGCCTGTTCTACCATGCTCTGGTTCTTCTCGTGCAGAATCATTCATTTCATTAGTGGAGAAATCCTGGAGAATACATCAGGCCCTGTCCACACGTAGCCGGGGATCTGCCAAAACCTAGATATTTCTCTACGTTTTGGCCTGTCATCCACACGAAAATGGAGTTTTTTCACACGAAAACTGACCTTTTTAAAAACTCCGGCCAAAGTGAAGATCTGCGTTTTCTCCGTTTTGGGTGTCTGCGTGTGGACGGACAAAACCGGAGTTTTAAGGTCCGCAACGTCACTTTCCGCGACAGAAAAATGCTGACATCACGTGTGCGACCTGTGTTTACGCTAGCCGACAGCATGGATGCCCTCAGAGCTGCGCTCGCTTTATCAATTGTCCAAGCGCTTTTTGCTTGTTTGTTTTTGCAAGCGGAATTACTGCTCCTTGCGGAAGACCACAGACGAAGGACGAGGTTAAGAACAGGGGAAGTACTGCCGCCTACAGGTCTGGCATGTCCTTAACAACGTATTTATCCGGGTACATGTAGACAGAGTTTTTTTTTAACGAGATGGTGTGGATGCAAGTTTTTGGAGGGGCGGATCTTCGTTTTTAAAAAACCCGGCTACGTGTGGACTAGGCCTCAGTTATTTACCCCTCTACACACACACACACACACAAGGTGATGCGAGATCTCACCTTTTGCATCAGCTTGCGCTGCCATGTGTATACTACCTTTATAAACACTCCAAACTTGAAGAGAAACCTGTCCGTCCATTTTCTCAGTCTCTGATTTTAAGAATGATGTGCCAAAACCAAGCTGTTTCCAAAAGTCCCGATTTGTGATGTCACAAACAGGAAAATTAGAATAAAACCAACTTTCATGTAGAAGAGCTGCTAGAGAAGCAGCAGCTCTAATTTGAGTCCCACCCGGATTGCAGAGCTTCTCAGCTTATAGCAGCCAATCAGGACATGAGTGGGCGTGGCCAGCAGTAGCTTGTTTTTTTAAGTGAGAGTACTAAAACAGCTAATTCTGGAAGGTACTGAAATGTCAATAATAAAACTGCATAATTTGCTTAACATGGGAGGGATTTAGTTTGTAGACATGCTTTCTATAGACCATAGAACTGTTATTGCCTAAGACAAAAGTCATATGTCCCCTTTAAACTTGAAGGTCCCTGAATCTCACTGAAGTGCTGAACCTAAAGTCTTAAAACACGTGATGACGTTTAAAGTAAAACAAAATTAACTTTTTATCCACATCAAATTTTGACTTTTAATGAATAAAAAAGCTAAAAGAAACAACTATCTTTGCCCTTTTGTAAGTGCAGACATTAGTGTTAAATAGTCTAGAAACAAGGATCCTCTCTAGAAGCCAAGCTGTTGTGATTGAGAAATCCATTCAGATACTTAGTTTCACAATAAGATCAGCAGTGTTACTTAAGCTAACTCAAGCCAAACCGTTAAATTCCTTCAAAATAAAAGCCTAAAGCTGTTTACCGAGTTGCAGCGTCAGTCTGAGGTTTTTGCGTAAAACCAGTTCATTTCTCTGTCGGATGTGATTTTGACTGATAACAGAAACAGACCAAACTTGATCTGATCTTATCTTCAGCTGGTCTCTCACACATCTTCCTCTCTGTTTAGTATTCAGACCTAGAGAACGCAATCAACACTCTGGTCACCAAGTTCCACGATGCTTCGGCCGACAAAGGTCCAGCTCTGAAGGCCGATGAGTTCAAGGGACTTTTGTCCACTCAGCTGCCAAACCTGATGAAGGTAAGACCTTCAGCAGGGCTGGGTGTGGCGGCACACCTCAGCCTGCAAACAAAGACAGCCAGGAACATGTTCAGCAGTCTGAGACACACACACACACACACACACACACACACACACACACACACACACACACACACACACACACACACACACACACACACACACACACACACACACACACACACACACATTCTCATTTTGCTAGTAGGTGTGAGGATCATCATTGACTTCCATTCATTTATAATATCCTCACTTTATAGGTGAACAGTGTGACATTGTTTCTCAGTATGTAGTATAGACAAGTGCACACACACACAGGCTAAGTTGAATTTCATTTCATTTTCTCCATTACCAGGACTGACCTAGTATCTGCAGAAAGACTCCAACAGTGTTTCTTTGTTTCCCTGTGCAAACAACAGGATACCCCAAACATAAAATAAAAAGTATAAAAGATAAAAATTAAAATTAAACTTGAAAATAAAACAAGTAAAACTAAAAAAAGACAGAATTTGGTGCAAAAGCTCCTTTATGTCAGTAAAGAAAAAGGTGAAACTAACGTATGAGATACAGGTGCTGACCAGTAAATTAGAATATCATCAAAAGGTTGAAAATATTTCAGTAATTCCATTCAAAACGTGAAACTTGTACATTATATTCATGCAATGCACACAGACCAATGTATTTCCAATGTTCATTACATTTAAATTTGATATTCATAAGTGACAACTAATGAAAACTCCAAATTTGGTATCTCAAAAAATTAGAATATTCTGAAAAGGCTGAATATAGAAGACACCTGCTGCCACTCTAATCAGCTGATTTACTCAAAACACCTGCAAAGGCCTTTAAAAGGTCCCTCAGTCTTGTTTTGAAGGCACCACAATCATGGGGAAGACTTCTGACTTAACAGCTGTCCAAAAGACAATCATTGACACCTTGCACAAGGAGGGCAAGACACAAAAGGTGATTGCTAAAGAAGCTGGCTGTTCGCAGAGCTCTGTGTCCAAGCACATTAACAGACAGGCGAAGGGACGGAAAAAATGTGGTAGAAAAAAGTGTACAAGCTCTAGGGATAACCGCACCCTGCAGAGAATTGTGACGACAAACCCATTCAAAAATGTGGGGGAGATCCACAAAGAGTGGACTGCAGCTGGAGTCAGCGCTTCAAGAACCACCACGAGGAGACTCATGAAAGACATGGGATTCAGGTGTCGCATTCCGTGTGTCAAGCCACTCTTGAACAAGAAACAGCGCAAGAAGCGTCTCGCCTGGGCCAAGGACAAAAAGGACTGGACTGATGCTGAGTGGTCCAAAGTTATGTTTTCTGATGAAAGCAAGTTCTGCATTTCCTTTGGAAATCAAGGACCCAGAGTCTGGAGGAAGAGCGGAGAAGCACAGAATCCACGTTGCATGAGGTCCAGTGTAAAGTTTCCACCGTCAGTGATGGTGTGGGGTGCCATGTCATCTGCCGGTGTTGGCCCACTCTGTTTCCTGAGGTCCAGGGTCAATGCAGCCGTCTACCAGGAAGTTTTAGAGCACTTCATGCTTCCTGCTGCTGACCAACTTTATGGGGATGCAGACTTCACCTTTCAACAGGACTTGGCACCTGCACACAGTGCCAAAACCACCAGCACCTGGTTCAAGGACCATGGTATCCCTGTCCTTGATTGGCCAGCAAACTCGCCTGACCTTAACCCCATAGAAAATCTATGGGGTATTGTGAAGCGGAGGATGCAATACGCTAGACCCAACAATGCAGAGGAGCTGAAGACGACTATCAGAGCAACCTGGGCTCTCATAACACCTGAGCAGTGCCACAGACTGATCGAGTCCATGCCACGCCGCATTACTGCAGTTATTGAGGCAAAAGGAGCCCCGACTAAGTATTGAGTGCTATACATGCACATTCTTTTCATGTTCATTCTTTTCAGTTGGCCAACATTAGAGAAACAAACATTTTTTCATTGGCCTTTAGAATATTCTAATTTTCTGAGATACCAGATTTGATGTTTTCATTGGTTGTCACCTATAAATATCAAATTTAAATGTAATGAACATTGGAAATACATTGGTCTGTGTGCATTGCATGAATATAATGTACAAGTTTCACGTTTTGAATGGAATTACTGAAATATTTTCAACCTTTTGATGATATTCTAATTTACTGGCCAGCACCTGTAAAGGCTTGAAACATCTGGCTTTGCATGAAATGAGTGTATCTCATTAGTTTGTTATCTTTTGTTAGAATTGTGATGATTATGGTTCACAGCTGATGAAAACCCCACATTCAGGATCTCAGACAGTTACGATACTGTGAAGAGGTTCGTCATTCTAGACTCAAAGTGTTGCACACTAATCAGCAAATGAATCCAGAAGGAGGCTGGACCTGACCCTCTGAATTGTTGTTCCTACAGGGAGCCGGCTCAGACCAGAATATGGGCGAGATCATGCAGAAGATGGGGGTTGCTGACGGTGAGGGCATCACTTTCAAACACTTCTGGGGCCTGGTCCAGTCTCTAGCCACCTCGCAGCACAGCCTCCTGAGCAGCCAGAGGGCCTCGTCATGTGGCTGCCTGCTTCTGTGAAGTTCAGCCTCCACTCGGCAGCCGGCAGCAGCGCTCCTCCATGTAGCACAAATGTTATCATGCAGTTAAACAGAAGGCCAAAGTTTAACCTTTATTCTGCCACAGCAACTTGTTCCCAATGTCTCAGTGTCCTGGAAACAAATCCCACTCACGAATAAGGCTGGAAAATCCACTTTTGGTTTATTTATATGACTAATAGTAATGATAACCTCCAAAACAAGCAGCTGCTGTTCTGTCTGCAGGCGGCAGCATGTTCCTGCACCGAGGCTGTGTGTGATGTCATAGGAAGTCGGGCTGAGTCAGAACCAGTGTTGTTTAAAATGTTTTTGTTTGATTTTGTATCAGATATTCATTGATTAAAGTTTTCTTTGGATGCATTAAACCAATACGACTGTTTGATCATCGAATCAGAACGACCAATTCCAATAAACTTGTTGATTCCACCCATGTCATCTTCCTTTGTGTTTATCAGCAAAATATGCGTGATTATTATATGTCTGTTTATTGTTTATGGGGAGGTGTCTATTAGCAGGTAAAAGAGAACAGAGGGTGCTCAGGTGTGTTAATGGCTGCATCCTGTTTAGAGGAAGTGGGGCATGTTTTTACAGAGCATGTGCAGCTGCAGAAGGAGAAACCAGAGTGACTATAGCTTTAACAGAAAACTCATCTCAGGGTAGAGGAAATTTAACTTACTCCTTAACAACTGATGCACACGACCAGATATTAGCTGGTAGATTAACTCTTTGATGCATAATGGTCACTACAGTGGACAGGTACTCAAAATTGTTATTTATTTGTTTTTGCTATTAAGCACAGCTGTTGAAGACTTAATTGTATTTGAGCTCCTCCATTTGGACCTCAGTAAGCCAAGCCACCAGGGACGAAATTTTGATTTCAGAAGTGGGGGGGACACAGCAGGCTTGTGCGGATTTGGGGTGGGGGGTGTTATGTAAAGACCCCTTGACACGTCACGTGCCCATCTCAATAATTTTTCCATCCTTATTGAAGTGCAGTTTTGGCTGTTGACAATGGATAGGCCATTGCATTTATTGTTTTGGGTCTTTTTTTATTGTTTTTGGTGCAACATTTTCTAACAGGGAGTTAGATTCCTTTTTTATTTAATTTTTGTTTGTTATTTTTATTCATTTAGAAGTTCTGGTTCTGGACATTTCAATGTTAAATGAAGGTTCATTTGTTGCATTTTAAAGGGTGTACTTGCATTATTATGATATATTAACATTATATTAGTGGTTATTTTGGTCTAGATAATGTTGACAATGATATCGTTTATCATCAACAATTTGTTGGACAAAATATCGTCCAGCAAAATGTGTTACTTTCCCAGGCCTAGTCAAAAGTATAAAAATTATTTATACATAAACGGTCCCTCCTGAGATCTGGCCGTTTGTTCATTTGCTGTGTTAGAGGACATGCTGAACTAATGTTTTACACATGATCATCACCCTAACATTTGAGTGTATAAAAACATATTAAATATGTTTTTTCCCTTAAAAGTGTTTAAACAGTTGTTGCATTTCAACACACAAAAAATAAAAGGAAAAAATAAGATAAATCTAATGAAAAGTGTACATCTTTGACATTAAGCTTAAAAAAATCTGTTGACAATGATGATACTGTTCATTTTTCAGAGCTTTTTAATGTGAAAATATGCATTGCAATAGATAAGTTTACAATAAAGTTAAATGATAAAAGTTTTGAAGTTACACTTCTACTACTACTACTACTAGTAATAATAATTATGATGATAATAGTAATAATAAAAAAATAATTATTATAATAATATGAATAAATTGTGTCTGAGGAGTCAGTTATGTGGAGGAGATGAGTTTGTAAAAGTTAGTTTTGAGTATGTTTGTGAAGGAGGAGGTGAGTCTGAGCTTAATGCAGGGGTGTCACATGTCCAACTTACGTTTAGACTTTGAAAGAAGTCTCTTATATCCACTTTTCGTTTTCTTGACATGCTGCCTCCTGGCTGTGCCTAACTACCAAAGACTCACAAATGAACACTTATTCAAATGTTATGTAATGGAAGCTGAGCTGAGCTCTGATATTACACAGCGTCTAGTTGACGATGTGACTCAGTACCGGTGTTCCCTAGCGGCTCCAAACTAGCAAAACAACGTGAGCACGTTCTGACTGTTTACAACTTGAGTGACAGCAGCAACAGCCAATAATACGTTAGCAAGTATCAGCAGAGCCAATAGATTAGCTTTTGGGCGGGTCTAATAGTAAACCGGTTTCCGTTTCGGTCCTAGTGCTCAACCAAATCCATTTAATGGAGCGTAACATTGTTTTTGGACGGAAAAAAGTGCGGGGGACCAAAACTGCCTTTTGAAAAAGTGGGGGGGACATGTCCCACCCGTCCCCCCCCCAAAATTACGTCCCAGCAAGCCACCATATTTCATGTTCAGAATGCACGCTGTCCACTGAGGTGGAGTCATCGTTCTCGGGTCTAGGTGAGTCCTCCTCCTCAATTAACAATCTTTGGGGTTCTGTGTTCCACAGGTGAGGAGCGGAGAGGTACCAGCTGTGCTCAGTTAATCATTTGGAGCTCGGGTTTAAAAGGAGGATGGAGACACTACTCGAAGCCGGATGATTACTCCAGTATTGGATTACCACCACAACCTTCACCAAACTCTGCTAAGAACCACGGATCTTCATACACGTCTCATCCTCCTCCACCGCTCCTGCATTTCTCCTCTCTGCTTCCTCACCTCCCGTCCGGCTGGATCGCTATACTTGTCACCTTGGCACCCCGCTTGCCCCGCAGCTCGCTGAGCTAAGAACTCTGAACAATCGCCCACGGCATAATTCACTGGATTTCAGTGCTACTTTAGTTCCCGTTTGTGTAATAAAAGACTTTAATTTCTTACCTCCTGACTCCTGTGCTGATTCTGCATGTCTTGGGTTAAACGCCTTCCACAAGCCATGACAGGTGGACATGTAATAAATTATTTGTAAATTATAAAATTTTACAAAAAAAATTTGTTGAAATTTGTTTCATTCACACCCAAAGACCAATGAAAAAAAATGTTTAAAAAATCAGGTTGAAGATTTCATAATTCATACATCAAAGGGTTAAAAGCTGCATTAAAAACTTAATTCCAGGTTTGTCCACATCTACATTGTTTATATCGTACAACTGTTTTTGGACGACAAAACGTGCAGGAGACAAAAATTGACTTTGGAAAAAGTGGGAGTGTGTGTGTGTGGGGGGGCACATGTCCCCCCTAATGCGGTGCGATCAGGTGTTACAACGATTACGCAATAGGGGTATGAAGTTGGTGTGGAGGGTAGTCTTAGGGCCGTCAAGGACTTCCTGTTATCTTCAACATAACTTGCTTTTATGCCGATTGAAGCAACGCTCCTTAATTGTTTTTCACTAACCGCACCAAAATGTGTTTGTCCTTCACAGTCCAGCGTGAACTGTCTGGTGATCTGCGCTTCAAATCTAAAGGCCAGAAGCTCCGGATCTCTGCCTTGCTCCAGATTGCCTCTCAACTGATTCTGTTTGCAAAAGCAACTCCAAATTTCCTTGTCTACTTCATCTTCATTATTCATTTTTTTCCTGTAGATTTAATGCAAAAGTGTGCTGGGTATGTGTTCACTTTTACATGAATAGGATAGTGCCGTAAAAGGTTTTTGGTAGCTTGAAATAATGTGAGCTCAATTAATCTGAAAGTATGAAAAAGCTATGAAACGAGAAAAAAACCTAAACAGAGGGAAAAAAAGCATAAAACAATAATTGCTATTGTTTAGTAAAAGAATCAAAGGATCCTGAATCGTAATTTAATCGAATCGTAACGTACCTAAGTTGGCACAGCACTAGACAAACAATGGTTTGAGCAGATGTGTTGGTGCATGCAGTGTGTGAGAGGTTCTGGTACATTTGGGCCTCAACACTAATTCAACAGTGTGGGGGACTGAAGGACGAGCAGGGTGTCAAAGACGTTTGACTTTTGTGCGACAGCACGATTGCCAAAAGGTAACTATAGTTGTGAGGTGTTAATTACCTTTTTTAACCGCCTTTATACTACACTCAGCATGACTTCGAAGATCGTCGAAAGAGTGGAAAATTGGCTAAAAACGGGCCAAAAGTCTCACAGTGCATGCTTTGCTATCGACTCAGGTGTTTCCTGTAATCAGCAGCATCAGTCAGTCTGCTTATTTAAAGGCTCAAAGGTAGTCACCGTCCTGTTTGGTATCAAGGTGTGTACCACACTGGAAATAGAGGTCAAAATCTCACAAAATGTCTCACAAAATTAGAAAGACTACTCAACAGCATTAAAAGAGAAAGGCTAGAAGACCATCTAAAATTAGCTAAAGGTTGAATACATTCTCAAAGAAGGTAGGCTAGAAGATCGTCTTCAAGCAGCTAAAGGAAAGAAGACCATCTCAAACCAGCTAAGGATTGAAGGCTGTAAGATAATCTCCAAAAACTGAAAGGATAGAACAGTGTTTTTCAACCTTTTTTGAGCCAAGCTACATTTTGTTATTTAAAAAAATTACAAGGCACACCACCAACCAAAAATGTAAAAAATAAAATAGATACTCTGTAGCCACCTGTATTATTAACAATATAGTCATTTTATCCTGAATCTGAATCAATTAAACACTTGAATGAAATGAAATGACTGTTTTCCACCTAAAAGTCATTTCCCCCCTCGCCTCTGACACAGAACTAGTCTGCATGAGATATGGTCTCAAGGTCTCATGCATTTGTTATAAACTGCTTCCTTTCCAGCCCAAGAGAAGAATGAAGAAAAGGACTCTTCTTTTAATAAATCAAAGAACTCTATTTTTAATAAAGCTAATCAAACAAAGTGTTAGTCTATAATAAGATGTGACCAATCTGTGAAATCAAAATATTAATTAATTTATTATAATCCTATAGAATATAATAAGTAATACGACTTTAAATGTTTCCTCTAGGACTGATCTCACGTAGCATTAATAGACGACACATTGCTTTTACTGATCCAATCAGAATCTGCCAGATCTGACAGAGGCGTGGTTTTGGTGGTGTTTGGTAAATCTGACATCTTTTCATTCGACCATAAACCAAAACATCCAAAGTATAAAACTATGCCCACGTCATCTTTAACGCCAGTTCAAAGCGTTCTAGAGAGTTGTCGGAGTGGCCAATCCGTAACTCTCCTCTTCAGCCAAAAGAACCAACGACAAGCTGGATAAACCTGTTGCCGTCCCACCTGCTGCAACGGTTCCTTTCAGAATAACAGCTGAACCAACACGACCCCATTTTGTGTCTTGTTAGATGCCGATAAACTGTTGTGGCCCGGAAGTATCTCAAGACTGGTGGTCGGCTGCCACGGCTGTTTCTACAAGCTTCGGCTCCAAATGTCCAAGCTGGCCCTCTACACCTCCTGATCTAACGGGGACTTCCACTAAGGGTACGTAGACC